CTTTGTTGATCGAGCTCATGCTACTCGAAGGGAACAAGCATCCTGACACACCCTCAGTGCGAATCTTGTGATCGCACATCTCGCATCGCTGAGGCATGCCATCCGACTCTACAAATTTACAACTTCAGGGATGGCGGCGGCGAGTCAAAATTCGTCAAAACTGAGACTTAACAAATCGAGCAAACTGTTCAGATCGCCGGTCGTTTGAATCACAAAATAGGCATGCACCGGAACTGTATGGGATGCACTGTACATGTGAGAAGTGCTCAGTAATTAAGCGCCGAAGATATGCACCTGGCAGCATTTGCTTGGAACGGGGATGAAGGAAGCGCTTGAGCTAATCCGCAACGTCTTGGTGGTCTCCCGGACGGATCTTGTGGCTTTGCGCCTTGCGCTCCAAGAAATTGGAGCACGACTTGCTCCTGAGAACAGTCGGGCTGGTCCCCAAGCTTCTTCTGGCTTCAGCAGAAATATAAGGGATGTTGTCGGGCGAAGAGCCTGTGCAAAGCGTGCAGTAGATGCTGTAGACAATGCAAGCTACCGCTAAGGGCAACAAGACATGACCACCCGGCATCAAAGGAGGCTCTGCAGCAGCTGGCACATACACCGCATCATCACCGGCACATAGGAATGCCAACCATCGGCTGAAAGAGGAGAGGTGATAAGCGAGGCAGAGGATCCCGCTCAACAAGAAAGCCTGGTTGAGGTTCATGCGCAGGACTTCTGGCAGCCATCGCCGCACTGCGATCAAGGGCATGCCAAACAACAGCAAGGGATACAGCGCAGTGAAGATGTAGGGGAAATGCTGTGGGACCTCTGTTGCCAATGACGTCCACTCCATGTACAGCGCAGGCCAGGCTTCGAATGCGATGCCAACACCAAAAAAGCGCCAGGCATCAATGGCTGGTAGCAAGTATGGCAGTGTTGCCAGCAGCCGCAAGGAATGGTCCATGACAGGAATCTCGCACTGAAAGTCTTCCATGGGCTCCGCATGAGGCTCTGGCTGGGCTGACCGTTGAGGCCCGGTCTCCCACTGTGGCTCGGTTCTCGGCTTGACATAAGTAGGGGCCTTCAGTGCCGGCGCAGTCACCGGCTGGGGGAAATCTGCCTGGTGCTGGACTAGCGAACATTTCACAAGTTCCAACCCGCCGCAAGCCATCATCAGTCCTTTTGCTCTCAACTGTTCCTTCTCCAACTTCGCAGCTTCAGCCCGTAATCGTCGAGCTTCAGCCATCAGCATCGCGCTCTGATTCTCGATGCTTCTTAGCCGGCTTTGTCGTGATGGCACACGGCAGATGTTTCGCGTCTGCCATGTACGTGTCAAGACTCCAGCGACCAAGCTCAAACTCAAGCAGAAAGTTGCCGATGCCAGCGGTGTTGCGGTCTGCTTGAAGTGCTTGCCTGTCTGCTGAAGTCGAAACTGAGTCGCTTGGAATCGTGGCTGTTCCGGGCGGGGCACAACGAAGCAGAAGGATGTAAGCAGTGCCGCGGCACAGATGAAAACACGAGCCATTGTGCACACAATTGCACGACGGAAGTGTTCCAATCCCGCCCCCTGACTCAAAAAGCTTCAGCCAAAATGGCTACCGTAATCTACATCCCCCTGTTGCAACGGGCAGAAAGGCGACTTCCCTGAACCTTTAAGCCGAAGTCCCAACTGCCCCAGCAGTCAATGAGCTGCGGCCAAAAGACTGCGAGATCTGCAGCTGAACCGCATGGCCGTCGATCATTGCCTAAGTGGGGATCCCCAATGGCCGGATCCTTGAAATGAGGACCCCGAAATGCGCCATCCCTACTTCGTTCTCCTAAACATGCCCAGACTAGCATCATCTCTGCGATCGCCACTGCCATCTCTGCCAGGCCGCGCCCTGCTTGCGCTTCAAGACCTCGGCCGCCTGCAGCATGGAAGAGGTCGAAACGTCTCCGGCTCTACACGTCCAGGTTCAGAGTTGCGGGTGTAGGATACCTTGCATCTATCCTTTTTCCACGAGCAGCAGTCGTTGTAGACTGTCTGGATGCTTGAGGTATTGCGGCTCTCCCCTCCGCTTCTCCCCCATACCCACTCATTCCCAGCAAGTACCCTTGTGGCACCCTTGTCGGACGACCTTCTAGAGAAAGCTTGCACAAGAAGTGAACGCCTTCAGACCGCCAGGCCTGCGCTGTCGTCTCGAACTCGATGAAGCCGTATCCCATGGACAGGCCTTTCTCCTCCTGGGCGGCCTTTGCCCCCTTCTTCACAGCAGCCTGGGCCAGGGCGCAGCAGCTCAGAAGCTCATTGCAACAGAGCTCAGGCTGAGAAGAGCACGAGATACTGAAACAAGAACTAAATGTGTGGCGGCGTAAAGAGATGCATATATATATATATATATGCGTATATTTCTTTTTAATGTATAAAAAACGATCTTCATCCTGAGTCCGACCAGAGTGGGCCTTCTTCCGCATGACGACGGCCGAGCGAAAGCCCTGGCAGCTGCGAAAGACAGCCTTCAAGCCATCATCCGTGGTCGAGAAGCTCAAGTTCTTCACCTTAGCTCTGACTTTTTGGGGCGTTTGGCTTGTTTTGGCTTTTGGCTTGTTTGGGCTTTTAGTTTGTTTGGGCTTTTGGTTTGTTGGGGCTTTTGGTTTGTTTTGGGGCTTTTCGACTCTCACTCTCGCGCAAGGGAGGCAAGGCTCCACACAATTTCCGACACGCTAGAGCCTGCGGGCATGAGAGAGCGAAGGGGTTAGGGTTTACTTGGAAGTTCATGGGTAGCTATAGATGGGGCTACAACTATTGTAACGATACTTATAACCCATATTAGGGGAGTTCTAACCCCAATTATAACTACCCATGAACCTCCAAGTAGGCGGTTTCTGACCCTGGGGGCCCATAGACTGAGTGGTGAGCCCCGCAGCTGCGCCCGGATGTTTATGGGAAACCAAGAAGGAGATGCGTTCGAGACCCTCAGAACCCAGAGACTCCAATATCCCTTTAATTGAGGAATATACCTTTAATTTATAGTGGGATCCCTCATATGATTTAAGGTATATTCCTTAATCAAGGGATATTGGAGTCTCTGGGAACCATGGGCCGAATCTCGAGTCGCAGGTTCCGCGCCGAGGAGCGAAAAGACAGCCTCGTGCCTCCTCTCCGCGGCCGAGGCTTCGATTCGAAGGTGAGGGAATAACTAACAAAGCAAGTTGACGGGGGGGCCCTAATGATTCCAGGCGAGTACCCTAGCCGGTAGGACCCTGCTACGAAAAAGCCTTCTACACGAAGACTCAAGGAAACCAGAAAGCCGCCACATGATTGTCGCCCCTGGGCTTTAAAATTGTTCATGTAGCGCTTCTTCAGTGAGGATGCGGGAGGCATGCACAAGCCGCGTGCGACCCCGAACGTGGGACATTCAAGAACCTCGTCTCTTGGCACACTCAATACCCAACAATGAAAAAAACAAAACCTGCCAGAAATCGCTCCCTTCTCCCTTGAAGAAAACACGAAACACCACACACACACACACCCAACAGCAAAAAAAACATCTTCAATAAACGTCCTCAGGTTTTTGGCTGTAGGATTGGAGTGTCAAGAAGAGTGATCCGACACTCGGATGCGGGTTTTTTTTGCCTAGGGTTTCGGCACTTCTCGATTTCAGGGCTTAGGGTCCTCATCGACCTCCTCCTCTGCAGCCTCCTCGGCGGCTTCCTTCTGGGGCGCCTTCGCAGCGCCGGCATCTGTAAACCTCGCCGCTTGAGCTGATTCAAACTAGACTCCGGGGATGGATATATATATATATATATATACACATATATACTATAGTAACTATAGTGTACTTTGGCACGGCTGCAAGGAATTGGGGTCGGGCTCTAAGGGGATACCATGGGGAAATGTTTTGTACCTGTTTTTAAGAGAGCACCATGCAGCACGCGCCTCACCTACTGCAGGGACAGCGAGTACAAGCAACGAGGCTTCGCGGACTCCGGCTAACATTCTCGGGTCGGGGCCCCTCGACCGAAATTTAATGACCATATTATTCGTCGTAAGAACGCTCGACATGGAAAGCAAGTAGCACCAGCCACAGATTGCTTTTCTTCGCAAGCCGGCTCACTTAAGGCTTCTACAAACTCCAACTCAAGGCCAGCCGCACATCTTCCGGCGCCATCTCGAGATAGAGGGGCACATGCCCTGGAACCGGATGGTGTTTGAGGCGAGAAGCTTCATTGCTCTGAGCTTCGGGGGATTTGTGTCGGCGAGGGTTTGTGATTCAGGGCTCATGGGACCAGCAAGAAGTGGAGCGAGGACGCCATCCAAACCTCCAGTGCTGTCAAGCCGCGGAAGCGCGAAAAGGCAAGCTTCTGGAAAGCCCGGGATGCGGCTCCTACTTACCATCAGGGCAACCCATGCTAGCAGGGATTCCACAGCATCCTTGCGATAACATATTTGCAGCTTTGGACATGCTGCACCAGGATGCAGCAAAGGACACAAGAGAGAATGCTGGCCTTTGTCCGCATACTGCACGACTGCCACCTGCACCGGGACCGTCAGTTCTTCAACGAGAAACTCGCACCTGACCGAGCCCCAAGAATTGCTACATCAACTCTTATGCCTGCGGCGAAACTGCCACGTTTGGGTCCCGCACCCCTGCACTGAAACAATGCTCTCCTAAATCTACGATGCTCCTCAGAACAAACGCACGGCAGCTGGATGCAACCTCCAGCATCCACCGACTCAACACCAGCATCTGCATGTCTCCGTGTCTTACACAAAAAGAAATCCTCAACACTGGATGCACTGGAACGGAACGCCCTGAAAGCTCCGAACCAAAACCCCTTCGCTGCGTCGCTCCCGTGAATCCCTGAAGCCGCGCCGTTCCCGAGGGCGCCAGCGAGCAGCGCACCAGGGTGCCGAACCGTGCGAAGCGCTCCTCAGATTGGAGGGACTGCTTAGGGTTTAGGAGTTTAGGGTTTAGGGTTTAGGGTTTAGGGTTTAGGAGTTTTGGGTTTGGAGTTTAGGGTTTAGGGTTTAGGGTTTGGAGTTTAGGACCTTCTGCGATTTGACCGAAGGTCTGGAGGGGTTTGACAAAAGCCAGGTTAAGAGAGGCTGTCCAAATACGAAGATCCACCACCTCGTGCATTGGAGCAGCCGAGCGCTTGTGCGAACACTTGCAAACCCATGCTCGGAACTTGCCATTAGGATGCACGATTTTAAGGGTTGGGATTTCAGCTTCGTGACATTGCGTGCTCCATGTTCCGGGCCTAAGGCTCTAGCACTTGCCGCTTCAGAACCACAGAACTCCCAAGAGGACTTAAAAACCCGGCCCCGCATGCAGGATTCTGACGAAAAGGATCGTACTGCGTAGGGCCCTGCGGTCAAAACTCGCCGTGTTCTCAAATTCCCAAGGAAAGCCTCCCAAATCCTGCAGCAAAGCTTCTCGAAGCTCCCCCGCGCTCGTGGCAGCCGGCAGATGCTTCACCTGGGCCGTTGCTCCAGGACCCTACAAAGCTTCGCATTGAACTTGACCTTTTAGGATTGAGGGATAAAGGTCTCTTGCCCTTGGGATAATGACATGTAGCATCATGTAGCAGAGCAGCGATGAGGGTGTCGTCGCGGCGCTGCGCACCCTCTGCCATGACCGCCTTGCTGTTGGTCATCGCTGTGCCCCGCTGCTCGAAAGCATCGACACGAATGCCTTCTCTCTGAAGCCACTGTTTCCTCAGCGGTGATCACGCGAAACAGTTTCGGCCCAAGCTCAGGCGAGCGCTGTGATGTCTTCAAGCTGAAACAAGAATAGCCCTGAACCGACTTGAGTTGCAAGGCTGGGTGGCGTCTGCTGGATCACCGAGGTCTCCGTCAAGGCAGCAGTGACCTCGCACACTGCGGGACGGCCACGGCTGCCTCAGACCTTCCTCTGCCTCATGGCCAATGGCTCCCTCGTGCAAGAAAGAAACAGACAGCAGCAAGATTGAACGAATGACCAACAAGAAGACAAACACTACTGCTGACTCTGACTACTGATAATGGGTGGAAATGGTGGTGTTGGTTGTCATGGGAATGGAGGAGGTGGAATAAAGGGTAGGGTACTAAGCAAAAGCGAAATTGCCCTTTGCTGCCGTGGCACGGCAGCGTTCTCGGCATCTTTGCCGAAAAGGTCACTCTTGGAAACACCCAGCTGTGCGGATGCAGCGTCTGCCGCCGAGTTGGCAGAGATGTATAGCAAGTTCCAGGTATGCTGGAGGTGGGCATCCACCTTCTTCTTCCTCTCCTCAAGGTGTCAAGCCAAGGTTTACGACCGCGAAAGCTTTTGGGGACCCTACATAGGTGGACCCTCTTTTGTCAAGAGCTTGGAGACCCAACCCCTCAGCACGAACCCCGTATCCCCGCAGTCACTCAACCATTCGAACCTTTCATGGGGAGAGACCAGTTTCGAAAGACAGGGTAGCGGTCGTACTCATGCGGATCATCACCCGCCAACTTGTGAAACTTTCAAACAAGTCGAAAACTGATAGCGGGAATTCGGTACTGCGAAGATCACCACAGGAGGAAAACAACCAATCAAGGCCCAGATTCATCAAGTCGACCTCGGCTTCGCTCACAATGGACCCTAGGGGTTCGATGTTCTAAGATAGGGGCTCGAAAAGGGTTCTACAAACACTAGCACAAAGGCTTTGACGTGTCGATTTCGATTAAGACTGACGGGTTTATGGATTTTTCCCGGGGTTTACGGCACAGAGGGTCTGGGTTGCACCCCACTCAACCTTTAGCACGTGGCCAATCGGCGCGTGCAGTTTTAGGCTGCGGGCGGTGGAGTCCTATGTCTTATGCTTGGAAAATCAAGGAGCAACCCTGGATTCACGCCGAGCGGCACGAAAGCACTTGTCGCAGATGTGGGAAGCTGTGTACTGCTGTGTAAACAAATACCCGTGCGCGAAACCCTGCTACACTCCTGCACTTCTTGGAGAAGGGGAAGCAAATGGAGTCTCCCGCTTTTAAAGGGCTGCTCACGCCGTTTCCCCCACGCAAACCCTTGACGTGCTGAAGAATCCCAGGTGATTCCTGTCCGACACTGACGGAGGCAAGTGGCGTTTGTATGAGGAGGTGCCACCTCTTGCCTGGGTAGCATACAGATTTCAGGGCCCCTTAGAAAGTTGCAGCCCGAGATTCACAGGCTTTGGTATTGCAACGGGGACAGAATGAGCGGAGTGCGCTTTCGTTGAGTTGCAGACCCTCTTGTGCCTGGAAGCTGGTTCATGCCAGGATGGAGGCTTGAACCGAATCACATGACCCGGTAATCCTTCCACAAGGCACATGAATATCTACGATATGAGGAGGATTGTGATCATCCGTCTGAACAGCACCTCCGAGCTCAACACCCCCAACTCAGCCCCGACCCCCCAAAGCCCCGAACACTTTCAGGGCTCTTCCTACTCCAGGAACGCCTTCTCGGCGTCGGCGCCTTTCGCGGCCTCCTGCGAAGCATGAAGAAACATCGAGCCTGGTGACCTGCGACGTCCGGGATCCAACACTGCAAGACAGAACGGAGCCCAGAGCTCCAGTCCTCCCACTTGGCACCCCCTGTTGCTTCCTACATGCTTGTAGTCCTCCATACTCTTCCGGCGGTTGTTCAGACTTGAGGTTGAAAAGGTGCTTGGATGCAGAGCGGTACAAAACACGGTGCAGTGCCAATACACGGTGCAGTGCCAATGCACATCTGCTTCGCTTCCGGCAGCAACACTCGCAGAGTTGCGGAGGTATGTGAGATCCAAAGAAATGATAACCCTACACCTTCCACCCCTCCAGACCCTGCCAAAACCCACGCCAAATCGAAAACCATGTGGGTAGTTCTCTAAATTTTAGATCCCCGAAGTAATACCCCAAAAATGGGACCCTAATTTAGAGAACTGCCCACGTGTATAGACACAAAGTCGCATAGAACCCCTATAGAACCCTTATAAGCCCTCCTAAAACCTACGAGCTAGGCTGAGGGGAACCCTTGGGGATAAAGACCCTCACAACAAAGGTCCCTGTTTAAGAGAGCCAAAAGTAAGGTCAAGAAGGGTTCCCTTTATGGGCACTCCCTGATCCACAAGCTCGGTCCTCCACCGGCTTCTGCCGGGCCGCGGCCACGCGCAGGAGCCTGCCCTGGAAGGACTTCAAGTCCAGCTCGGAGAGAGCTCCTGAGGGTCGAGGGCTCCAGGGTTTAGGGTCGAGGGCTCTTAGGGTTTAGGGTTTGGGGTTTAGGGCTTTTTGGGTCTAGGGTTTCAGCAGTCACTCTCGGACATGCCTAGGCGTACCTAGGTCTAGAGTTTATAGGGTTTGGGGTTTAGGGTTTGGGGGCTTCGTTGGTTTAGGGGTTAAGGTTTCGTTGGTTAGGGTTACGGGGCTTTTCTCGGCACGCTTTGGCGCCTTCCGGTGTCAGTGTCAATTATACCATCGATCCCTCAGCTTCGCGTGATTCGGGTTTAGGAGCTCAAGCAGCTTAGGCATTCAGGGTCGAGGCCTCTTCCCAATAAATTAAATAAAGAAAAAAACTTGAAACCGGCGTCAGCAAAAGAGAAGGGGCAAGAGCCTTTTTGAACTGTTCGCAGCCAAAAGCTGCTTCGGGCCCATAGCGTTTAGGCCTCAGGGTCTATACTCCCTTCTACCGACATGCAGCCCAGCATCTCACGGCACACTCTGGAAACCTGAGACATGGGCAACAGGGCAGCAGCAGCAGAGCGAGGGGCTGGAGCATGGGCAGTAGCAAGAGCAGCAGGAGCAGGCGGCAGTAGCATCAGCAGCAACACTTGCAGTGCCTTAGCAGTAGCAGAAGCAGTTGCAGCAACAGTAACAATAGCAGTGGCAGTGGCAGTGGCTTTGGCCATGGCAATAGCTGAATCAGCAGCAGAAGCTCTTGCAGCACATGCAGCAGCGGTAGCAGAAACAGTTTTGGTCGTTGTTGCTACCTTTTGCACGAGTAAATCAACGGAAAATCGCAGCAGAAGGCACAATCGGAGGAGCGTGCTTCTGACCATCACCGAGGTGCACGTACGTGACGTAGCCGAAGCCGCGTGATTTCAGCGAGTCCTCGTCCTGCAAACATGAAGCACCCGAGCTTGGACGTTTGGTCGGGCTAAATCCGTGTCGCCTAGAGTCTAGAGTGCGAAGGGGCTGAACCCTGGACTCTGAATTGCGGCTGCCGGGATCCAGGCCCCAATTCAAGCTTGTAGGGTTGAATGTAGGAATCTCGGGCCTCGGCAACCAGTCGCTCTCGGCAACACACACGTCACCGTCGCCCCTTTAAACAGGCCACCTTGGGCATGGCTGCAGCAGCGAGTGTATGGCACATACGGAGGCCCATCCATGTGCAGGCATACCTTGGCCTACTACACAGGTACGGCACAAAATGCATCACAGGCGATTGAAGGTCGGCTTCGGGATTGTGTTTGCATCAACACCACATCCGTTTCCGCTCCTTGCAAACGACGACGGACTGGACCTCCCCCAGCGTTTCGAAGTGAACACGTATCTCTTCTTCGCTGGCTCCATATGGTAGGTTGGTTATGTACAAGCCTCGGATGTGGTCTGACGACAATCAGTGCACCCACTGCATAAGCTGCGACTCTCAGACACGTTGCTCTTCCTACGCTTTATCTAACAAGGATCTAGCATAACCATCGTGTGCAGCGTCGTGTTCCTACCAACCCCACATGTCGGCACCTGAATCCACAACGTCGTAACATGCTCGAAACATGAACTGCCATGATCAAGGTCCTCGGGTAAGGGTGGGGGATGGCGACTGGACTAAGTTCCAGGGGCTAGGTGCAACTCAGAGCATGCCGCAGGGTGCATCGAATTCACTCGGCCCATGCAAAGACATCCGAGTCACGCCCTGTAGATTCGAGATCTTCCATATCTGGCACTGTTCCTGCAAAAAGAATCGGGAATTGAAACCCGTTGATTGCGAAGGGGCTAAGCTCCCAGGACCGGTGAGTCTGCGAGGCTCGGGAACCCCTACCACATCTTACCAGCAAAAACCGTGGCGTGAACCCCACCTGTGCCACAAGATGAGGCTGCTTCCACTTGACACGGAGCTACTAGTAATGAACTCTGGGCGATCCTGCTTCTAATCGCGCACACCGGTTTTGGATTAGTGGATTTTTTACGGAACAAGTAGTTGCAACAGTCAGATTCTCTCCATGTTCAAACGATTGCAATGCACAGGGCTTTCGTTTCCATGTTGTCGGCGTCGTTCAGCCCGCCTGCGGAATCCTTGGAAGCTTCCGCCGCAGCTGCTGCATCCGCCGCAACAGCAGCATCAACTGCATCAATGGCCACAGTATCCTCCTCGTTTTCCTGTGCTTCGCCTGAGTGCGAAAAGCATCCCAGCTGAGAGCTGCGCACGGATCACAAAATCGAACCACCTTCGCCGGCGGTCGAATTCTTCTGCTTTGGGCCTCGGATTGACCAAATGTAAGACAAAGACAACTCTTTCTCTCAAAAACCTTTTTGGAAGGCCGCCAAGGAGTGCAGAGACGACGACATCTGAGGGCAAGACGTTTCTTGCCCTTGGCGCGCTTCTTTGGCACTGCCATCGGAACTTCAGATGCACCTTTCGAGGCCTCCTGAGCATCGCTTGGAGTCGAGGCTTGAGCCTGTGAGGCTATCGGCTTAGACTTTAGGGACTTTAAGTCTTTGTTTTTGGACTTTAGGGTTTAGGGTTTAGGGTTTAAGGTGAGCTTAGGGTTTTCGTTGTCGCCACCTTCCAGATTCATGACCCCTCACCGACCAAACGCACAGTATCTTGATTCAGGACTCAATGCTGATATTGACATGTTTCTGGTTTCGAAAAGAACCCGCGATCTCGTCACCGAAATCGCCAATCACAGCTGCTCCCAGTAAGGCATGTGTAGTGATGTGGTGCGAAAATAACGACTCTAACGAGCATAGCATGCGGTAGCCCGATTCATCAATATGGGTAATGAGAGTGAAGGGGTACTTCGAGGATCATGGGACTTAGAAAATAAGGTTATGAGTATAGTTACCCTAATTATAACCCTACTGACCAAGTCCCACGATCCTTTAAGTAATGAGAGTGAAGGGGTAGCATCTCTGCGATCCGGGTCCTCGTTGCCCCCTGTTGCGGTGGAGTTCGACTTGGCCTCGGACATAGCTGGCCCGCACTCCAGAAGTGTAGGGATTAGGGTTTAGGGTTTAGGGTTTAGGGTTTGGGGGTGGAGGTGCAAGGGCACAGGGGTCAACATTTAGGCATACCTTTAAGGCGTTTGGGTCTCAGTGTCTCGTGGCTTCTGTCAATTTTGTCCCGGGCAGCTTGAAAAAGGCGCGCTTTAATGGGCGCTTGAGTGGGATCAAACATGTAATTCTGAGACGCTACCTTTGCGGAGTAAATCCGAGTAGCAACCCTGAATGAACCCTGAGGGACCTTGAGATATGCCATGTCATCCAACTCCTCGTCAAAGGCCAGGGATTGTGAAAGACCTTCTTTCGGAGCTGTTGCTGCAGGTGCACCTTCTTCACCACCTGCCATTGTTCGACGTCTATGTGAACGAAGTGCATATACCCGCAGAAATGCTAGCGAGTAGTCATGCAAAGCACACGTATCTGTGTATAAGTATATTTAGTGTAGCAGTACAGGTACAAGAATAAGTTTAAGTATAAGTATAACTATAAGTGTAAGCGCAAGCATACGTGTAAGCATAAGCATTGGTATTGGTATTAGTATTAGTATTAGTGTTAGTGTTAGTATTAGTATTAGTATTAGTGTTAGTATTAGTATTAGTATTAGTTCAAGTATAAGTACAATGCATAAGTATGAGTACGCACATGTATCTGTACATATACGTCATGTGACTAAATGTAAATGACAAAGTATGTGCATATGTAGATGCCTATGTAGAAGGGTATGTATATGTAAGCCTACAGGCACACGTACCTTCAATGGCAGAAGTCGCAGTATATGAAATGAGTGCGCATATGAATATATATATATATATATACAGATGTATGTATGTACACATATATAATGTACATGCGCATCAACATAACTACGAAGATATGTAGTCGATGTCCACGTCCATGCCATGTCCAGTCTATGTCTACATCCACGTCTACGTCTCTGTCTATGTTCGTGTCTATATCTATGTCTGTGCTCCAGTGCGGGTGCGTTTGGTCAATGCACTTTTGTACTTACATTCACATACAGACAAAAGAGTGCACGTACTGTGGGGCACATGTACATGCGCTTACGCAAGCTTCTGCTTGCGAAGCTGTGCACCTACATGATGAAAGTTAAATCTACACGGGTCTCAGGCGAAGTCGGGTACCCGAGTCAGTAAGCATGCTCCAATGTGCAGCAAAGGGGTTCAAACTCACGCAGCTGGAAAAGCCATCAAAAAAAGTCATCCAAGCCTTTGCCGAGGTGCATGGTGCATGGCACATGTATGTGTAAATAAGCAAGCGTTTCCGTTCAAGCTTGTCGCATTACACGTATCATATATATGCCTGTCTTTCCTGGCTAATCGAAATTAAAAACCCTGATTGGCTTCATGCACTCCAGTGGTGTACTTGTATGAGTCTCGTATGTCATATAGCTTTTGACCAAAACATGCATCGACCAAACTGGATCCAAGTCGCTATCGCTTTCGAATTCCATATGCCTCATTTGCAAACCACGTTCAAAAAAGCTCCGGCTATAGGTAGGCCATACGGCCGCAGCCAGGCCAAACATCGCCAGACGTTTTCTCTTGCATCGAGTCACATTCGCGTGTTGCTCACTCCTGCTTTCGTTGGCTTGATGTTGGCCGTGCGGACAACTTTCGCGCCCTTGATGTTCACAGCCACTTTCTGCTTGCTGCCTGCGTGCATACCCCGCTTGGTCTACCCGCATCCCACTACAAACTAAACCTTGCTTGCACCGTAGACACCTGTTTCTTTGCCAAGGGGCGACCACCGAGCTTATTAGGCTTGGTGTTCTCGGCCTTTTCAGCCTCATGCATCTGACCGCAGCTTGAGAGTTTCAGGGCTCTTGGGCTTCAGGCTGGAACCTAAGGCTTACGGGCGCAAAAACAAAGTAGAGCTAACGTACTGGCCGAGCAACCCCGGTCTCTTCCGGTCGCTGTCCTGCAAAGCACCGGCTGAAGCAGCATAAGCAGCCACGATCGAACCCCAAAACCAGCTTCTTCAAAGTCCGAACAATGGAACCGCTCAGTTTACCGTCCTTGAAGTGGGTGTACAACCCCAACTCCACTCGTCCCCCACCGCTACATTCCGTCCCTGCCGCCGCGGCCTGGCTTGGAGTCTTTCTTGTTGGCTTTCTTGTCGGCTCGCCGCTCATGTGCCGAAGAGCCTGCAGCATACCTGTCAAGATCACCCAATCATAGCCACAGAAAGGGTCGCAGCGACAACAACAAAAAAAATCCCAAACCCCAACGCCTTAAGTGAATCAAAAACCGAGTAGACTGGACTGCTAGGGTTGACGGGTGCTTCGTTCTTTTTAAAGCTTCTATCTCGATTTTCGGCATCGACAACAGCATCCGCTGTTTGCTGGAAGCAGTACTGCCCGGTTACAACACTGTAGACCTTGAGCCGTACATGTAAATCATGCCCAACTCTGACCTGGGGCTTAAATTTCCATTTCAGTCTGGTCGCTTGCTCCATGGCCGAGCAATGTCCCCAGAGCCCGGCGCATAAGCGATTTCAACACCTCGCACCACACGTGATACTGTTGATGATCTAAAGCCTGCATTGCCTGACGGACCCGACACAATGGGAATTAAGGTATATTCCTTAATATGGGTAATGCAGGATTTACATCACCAACCGTAGCATATTTGCAAGCTCTCGTTGGGTTCAGGCTGAAGTTCAACGGCGTGCTGCTGTTTGCAATGCGCACTCCTATCGGCCATACCTGACCTCTCACATGCAACGACCGACAAAGGCCATTTCGAACCAAGGAACTGATCTTCGAAGTATCAAAGAAGCTGCGATTTAACTGCTTCACCGCGGCGTGGGCATCGCTTTCGTTCCTTGTGCGGACATTCCCATATGCAAACAAGCCGCACTCAAGTTGTTTAGCCTTGCAACTGGACCCCGCTTTTTACAAAACATCTGCGATGCATCCTCGAAGTCGACTGCAGCATCACACGTCATCGCTGGAGCAATTAGGATAGAGCTCACACGCCTGCACATCATCCCCATCCAGTCTGACAACCCGTCATCTTGCAGACAACGCGCCGAAAGCCGACAAAGGCAAACTGCCGTGAACGACCGTCTTTGAGCTTCCTGATGTGCCGGCATGTTGCCAACAGCCATGTGTATACTTCGGTAGCATTCGGAGCTTCTTGAATTCGAACAAGGTGCTGGATTCGGCAGTCTGTGATCTCGCCAACTTCAGCGAACAATTCCCGCAAACGTGCATCTGTAGCATGTTTGGGCAAACTTTTCACGATGATGCGCGAAGCCATGGCTCATATGGGCGATCTGACATACCACACGCCGCAACAACAGCTTAATTAAGCTGCTCGATCCGCCTGTTGCGCAGGGAATCGATAGCTTGTTTTTGCACTTCAAACTATTTCTTGGGTGTCGGGTGTTGCCAGAAAGTGGGGACGAATGTTTCCAGCACTTCGTGGTATTTGTGTTTGGACCGTCAGCATTGAAGAGCTAAGCTGCTAACACAGCGGCTGACAACATAAAGCTTACGTGCCGTGTACTGTAATTGATCGCACCGGACACACACACGTTCCTGCAGGCTGCGGCATTTGGATTTCTGTTCGGGTGTTGGGCTTGCATACATTCGGCTCCATGGACCAGACAGCAACATCCAAGTAGACACAAGCAACCGTTCGAGACACACACAAAAGTGATTACCGTTGATTACACAACATCACAGCACCTAAACCCGCCAGTCCCAATGTAGACATTCGATTCCACAAGCACCCGCTCGAGATACACATCAGTGGCAACACAGTACATCAAAAAACCAACCATTCTTCAGGAAATTGCTCGAGTTCGCAAGCACCCAAACAAGAAACACATCGGTGGAACAAATCAAAACCAGCCATTCCCAATGTAGACGCTCGATTTCGCAAGCACCCTCAAGAAACACATCCGCGGCAGCAAGTCAACACCAGCAGTTCCCATGTAGACACTCGATTCGGCAAGCTCGAGATATTTTTCAAGAAACCACATCGGTGATCATCGGTGGCATCGCTGCAAGCAGCAAATCAAAGCAGCCATTCTTTTTGTAGAGGCTCGATTACGCAAGCACCAACGCGAGACACAAGTGGCATCACAAAATGTCTTTGAACGACCGTGAGACACAGGCAGAAGTGAAACCATAATCAAGAGCATAATCTCAGCATGCAAGTGCAAGCAAAAAACAATTGGATCTGAGATCCACGTTCACATCTCCCACGCCGACGCATCACGGCAAAATGTGGCAACAAAGCGGCATTGCGCAAGATGTCACGCGCAGTGTTCAACGTTGGGTCGGTCTGTGCGGAAAAGAGTTTCCAAGCCAAGCACATTTGATCTCCGAGTTTGTTGTCGCCAGCGGCGGCGTTGTGGGGAACAGGCAACACATTCCAAAAGTGCATGAGACAGGGAGTCAGCGCCATTGGCGCAAAATTGGCATGAGTGAAACATCATACCGTTGCGATGAGGTGCAGAGCGCCCGTCCAAGAAATCATGATGTCCACAACGTGCTACATCCCAGGATCTGGCAGCCATGGGGCAAGCATGCCTATAAACGATTCTGTGCAGATGCGGTCGTATCTGCCAGCGAGCATAGCACTCCAGGGAGTCCGTGCAAGGCCCAAAATTTGAATAAAACAAAATGGAATGGCGAGATACGGCATCGCGTACATGCTGAACCAAGCTATTACAACCGTCTGGGGTGAGCTACCCCAATACGAAGTTCAGCGGAGGTGGGAAAAACGGCGAAGGCCCCTGCAGCATGCGGCCCAGCTTGTGACAGCAGCTGCGCTCGAGATGCGGCATCAAGGTGAGAACGATGCAACTCTAACGCACGCCAAACACAAGCAAGGGAAGCCCCCTGCTGCCAGCCTCTGAAAAGGTCGCCGGAGTCGCGGTCTGCTTGCCCGGGCGGCAACTGCCCCTGCTGCAGCGAGGCCCGTAAAGGGCCGGGGGCATCGTGGCCGTGCTACGAACGTGACGGGCAGCTGCAAAGGGCGCAGCGGTCTCTTTCGCGGGCTGCAGCCCTTGCTCCAAACGGGCGGCTAAAACGGAGAGTGCTGCGTCGACTGCCAAGCGCAACCCAAGGCCGCCGAACCGCAAAGGGAGATGCGCAACGCGCTGCGAGGGCTTGGGCAGCAGGTGTCGGGTGCTCTGACATAGCAGGGCCGCTAGGCATGCACGGACGGCGGTGTCATGCTCGCGTGGGAGGGTTTGCGTCGCGCCGGGCGGCAGCATCCGAAGCAGATAGTTCACACGCGGACTGCAGATCGGGGAGACGGCTGAGCAGCGGGTTCTGGACCACGCGCTTGCGGCCGAGCTTACGGCGCACGAAAGCTTCACTCCCCAGCGATGCGTCGGGCACCAACAGCCATCGTTGGTCAGCAGGCAAGGACCACGCGCCTGTCCGGACAAGGTCCGCACCGACCGGCTGGCTGGAAGCGGGCAAGGCCGCTGGGTTCCTCACCAGCCGCGTTCCAAACGAATGTGCGCATAGCGCCACAGCACGTCTTCCAGGGCACCGTGCAGTTCCCCGGTGCGTTCCGGTGCCGACACAGTGTACGTGTCGTCCAAAAAAGCAAAGGGTGCTTCCCCTCCGAGCGGATCGCCTTGTTCTCCTCCTTCACCTCGCACCACATCATGTTCGCCGCCACGTACAGCTAAAGTTCCAGCATGCAGCTGCCCGCAGCTCCAGTGGCCTCCTCACCGTCGCGGTGCAGCGCGCGATAGCTGTGACCTTCCTCGAGCTGCCCCTGCAATCGGAAGTGGCCTGCCCCCAGCCTTGCACGAACTCCTTGCAAACGCTCGCTGGCAGGAGGCCCTTCAACCCAGCCGCCTCCCTGCCTGTGCTTAGAGCCCCGGTTAATGCTGTAGGCCGCTGCGGACAGTACGGTGCCCGTGAACGGTAAGGGCGAGTAGCATTGGATCTCGCAACCATACAGTAGGGACTGGGCCGTGATGTGCCCAAGGCGGTGCAGCCACGGAAATCGCGGACTGCAGGGTTCGTCCGCAACAACGTCCGGTAGCCGTTGCAAACGACCTCAATGCGCAGTGCGTCGTGGACAGGCACGACGATGTTCGTAGCGGAGAACGTGACGTTGCGCCCGACACGTGCCCCGGCCTCCTGGCAGACGCGAGCGACGGCCTGTTCGAGCGGCAGAGCTCGGGAGGCGAGCACGCCGGATGTCGTATGAATCTAGCGCTCCGCGGCAGGAGCAACTGCGAGGGCCGAGTAGGCGCAGGCGCCACGGGACGCCAGGAACGTGTCAGCAAGGTCTGAGCAAGGCGGGTCTCGAGTGCGCGCTCATGCCAAGCATGGGAAGCTCTGCCAGCCGCGAAATCCGCAAGTTCGTCATGTCGAAAATGCGAGCGGAGGACAGTCTCGTTCCAGTCCGGCACCGCGTAGCCGTTTGGGTGGTTGCAATAATGAGCGAAAGCACGCGTGCGCACGCCACGTGCGTCGCATTGCGCCACCCTGCGATGGTTCAGCAGCTTGCCTTCTCAGGTTTTTTTTCACGGACTTTTCCGCCTACAGCCGGCCACGGCCCAAGGCTGTGCCCGCAAAGGGTCCCCACCATTCCGGACGGCAGCACCCGAAATCGACCCTCGCGCGGTCAGGTCAGGTCAGGTCAGGGCGGCCCCGAAAGGGTGCAGGGAAAACAATCTCGTGCTTTCCGTAGTCACGTCTGGTGCCTACGACCACGTCCCGCGGCAAGCGATGCTGGCGGTCCTTCACGCTCGCCCGAACTTCGTCAAGTGTTTCCTCCAGCTCGGCAGTTCGGTGCCGCCAGCGCCTACACACTGGATTGATGGGCAGGGTGTTTCCCACCACGTTGCTAAAACTGAGGGTGGTTTTTTCATGCCCGCATTTTCCAGCTCCCGGGGCTGGAAGCGTTTCTAAGGGAACTATGGGACAGTTTCGCGTACCTCGGTGACGCAGTGACACCTAGGCTGCTGCTTCCCCAGAGCGGGTCCATTTGGGCGTGACAGCTGTCGCTCGCCCACGCGCGCATCGATCCAAACTGCCGCACGACGCGCGTCTGGAACGCTGCAAACGAGAAACCACCGGGCATTTGCGAAGCAGCTGAATGAAGGGGAAGCAGGCGGGGACGCACGGCATGCGTGCTTCGATGACCGCAGTTTGTTTTTCTTTTTTGCACATCTTTTCCGTCTGCTTCTTGGGGCAGGCTTGCTACCTGCTGCTGCTCCCATGCGCTCAGGACCGCTACGGGCGCAGCGGCAGGCGACTAGGTGCCTGGCACGCGTCGAAGCACTGTAATGCAGCAGCAATCATGCTGCGTGGAGGTCTTGGACGAGCGGAATGATTTGCGCGAGGCAGTCTTGTTCCCCGCGAGGTAGGCGTCGCTACCAAACGGTGTGCCAACAGCAGTGAGCCCCTGTTACTCCGGCGGGAACGCAGACGCTTCGACCCATGCATGCGGAAGCATCAGCTTCGCCTTGCAGCCCGAGGCTGGCTGGACTGCGCTCTGCCCGAACACGTACGATTTTGCCTACGTCCGAGGATGTTGTCATTCCCGATTCGCACTTCCGTGCCCTGCTCCTGTGCCTGCTCCTGCCACAGTGCACGTGACGCGTACGGAATCAGCCCGAGGTGCCTGCTCCAGGGACCACCGTGATAATGCGGGCCGGATGAGGCCCATTTGGCGAAGGCTTCGCGCGATCGAGGTGAGAAAGGTGCATCTCGAAGGAGTGTTTTTCCAAATCGCAAGTGACAGCGCATTGCCACTCGGGTAACGTGCCCTCTATAGCCTGAGCTTGCTGTGGGGCCGCACAACAGAAGGTGGAGTTGGGAAGCTTCGCCGTCGGACTCCGTCCTACGGCAACCTGACACACAATCGTCCTGGTTACTTTTGCTGTTATGCGCTTCCATTCGTGCACATTATTTTCACCGTGTGATGCCGGTTTGCTTTCCCCAGACTTCACCGCTGATTATGCCTGCGGATATAAGTCAGAGCCTGCTTCAGCGCGCTGCCCTAGGAAGACGCTGCAAGCGGCAGTCGATCAGCACACCGGGTGCCTGCTATCGGAGGGGCCGGTCTGCTTTCCGCAACTACCGGTGCGCAAGCCACCTATACCATCACCGACCGGGCCTCTTGGCATTGAGCTCTGCATACCGGCAACACTGCAGCGGCGTGCTCACCGCCGCCGGGTTCGGCGCCGGGTGTGGGATGGTGTGGGCACAGCTTCTCCGTCTGTTGTTGTTGTCCCAGCATACCCACCCCCTAAGGGGGGGGGGG